ACTGTCGTTATCTGCTGTAGTTTTTTTTTCAACGAAACGATCTCTAATAATGGACTTCCTAACATATATAACACAGAACGATTGACTATGTCACAAATAACTATTGGAATGATATAGATTTTATATTATAAAAATGGTGAAAGCACAAATTGTTTTATTCATATGTGTTGATTTGAGTATTTTACCTAAAAAAATATAGAAATGATGTTCAAAAATTAAATATTATTTATTTATATCAATTAATTTCAAAATATACACGGTATCAATTATTTGTATTGTGTTTATTTACGTAACGTTACTTGTATTGTTTTCATAACAGCAACGACACTTGTGTTGTTCTCACTTTCATGTTGATTAAGTAATTAGCGTATATCTCGAATTTTGTAAATGTCACGTCCATCTTGCAACTTAANACATTAGACCACATACCCTAAGAAAATCAGAAATGTCGAGTGTGAGACAAACAACAGTGGAATTAACATCGATTATAGATATTGAGTTGGTGAAATCACAAGTCATTACTACATTCGTTAGAAAAACATAATTAGTGAGCGTAACTCTCAAATTTTGTAAACGGCGCGTCCATCTTGCAACTTAAATGTGTTCAATTCATCGAATACCGAGGCTCGGACGGTTCGTGGCCGCTCATACTCATGTTTATCGGCATAACGACACACGTGTACAAGTAACAACACTTGTGCCGTTCTATTAATTTCTCCAATATTTTTGCTTCTTTTCCACTGCAACGACCTCGAGCATTGGACCACCCAACTTAAGAAAGTCAGAAACGTTAGTTATACGACAAGTATCGATAGCATTGACATAGATTATATGATAACGAGTGGGTGACATCACAAGTCACTATCTACGTTCGTTAGAAAAACATAATTAGTGAGCATAACTCTCAAATTTTGTAAACGGCGCGTCCATCTTGCAACTTAAATGTGTTTAATTTATCGAATATCGAGACTTGGACGGTTCGTGGCCGCTCATACTCCTGTTTATCTACAGAATGACACACGTAACCAGTAACGACACTTGTGCGGTTCTGTTAATTTCCTATATTTTGATTTATTTCCAATGCAATGATCTCAAGCACTGGACCCCTAACGAAGATAGAAAGGTTAATCACGTGATAAAGAATGATTGAAAATTGTCAATAACAAAACATCGCGACACTTGCATCATTCTCATCTTCCTCTTATAAGTTCAGTAACAACATAAGTCATTCTCATGAATGCTTATATTCTAATAATGACACATGTGTCGTTATTATGGAATCACAACAGAATAAAAAGAAATATATAATTGAAATACAAATATTCAGTAACGGTACAATCGCCTTTCTGTCTACAGTAACGACACTTGCGGCGCTTGTGCTGTTCTTATGAACAAGTTGTGTTCGTGTGTCGTTATAACTTTGCTTATGTCGTTCTCTTAGATACTTTCAATATCATTAACAGCACTTGTGCCATTCTCACGAACAAGTTTGTGTGTCGTTATAACATCACTTATGCTTTTCTCTTAGATCTTTTCAATTCAGTAACGACATAAGTATCGTTCTCATGAACAAAACTAAACAAAAATAACGACAGTTATATCGTTCTAATAGAAAGGTTAATCACGTGATAAAGAACAATTAAAAATTGTCAATAACAAAACATAACGATACTTGCATAATTCTCATTTCCCTCTTATAAGTTCAGTAACAGCATATGTGTCGTTCTCATGAACGTTTATATTCTAATAACGTCACATGTGTCGTTATCATGGAATCATAATAGAATGACATTATCAAACTTTCTATGTTACATACTTAAGTAGAAAAAATTATCATTTTAATGGACAAATTCCATAAAAAACGAAGTCAAATGGACACCAAATTTTCAACATTTTCCATGGAAAATTATACAAATCAAACACAATTAATTACAATTCCTAGTAAAACATTTTCTAAGAAAATCAATTCCCTGTAAAACATTTTCTTTCCACCCTTACAATCAAACGGACCCTAAAATTTTTAGGATATTGTACCGCTGACATGGCAGCATTATTACCTTAATTTCTTAGTACACGAAGGTCCAAACAACCCCAAAACTTCCTCCACCGCACCCAACCCCACTCCATAAGACCATAAGCCGCAATCTTACCCTTTGTTACTTCCAATTCAGGTCATTTGCGTTTTTAACTTTCACTATTATTGTGCAAAATGTCAATGCCTTCTATTTTTTGACATTTTAAACATTAATTACACATTCAATTGAACAAAACGTCCTTATGTCAATTTTATTTTATTTTTAAATGAGAGGATATTATTATCTTAAAACATTTTATTCCTTTCCCATCTTCTTCTCCATCTACCCCCTTACCCATCACCTTCTTCCTCAAGCTTGCATTTGACCACTAACCTCCCTCCCAAAACCTACTCCACACGCACCCTAAACCTCCACTTACACCCCATTCTCTCTGCATATGCAAGCCTTTTACACCAACTAAAATCTTGAACGATCAACTATACTATTCCAATAAACTAAGAATCAATATCAAGTGTTAAGCAGATAGTAATAGTGAAGCAATTGGGGGCACAAAAAATTTGGGGAAATTGGTATCCATGAATCTTTTTGTGGCTAATAAAGCATTTATATTGATATTTGGGGCAACCTCTAGCCCCATTGCCCTACATGTATCGTTGACCCAAAAAAATGCATCGTTGATGTGGCCAGCAGATCTCAGTGCATCTCACGTTCACGCAAGCTTGTTCCTGCACACTAGGACAAACCATTAGTCACATGTAGTCTTCTCTGGAGAGGGTGAAGTTGGCCACACACACTTCGACGGTCAAGTCAGTTGGAGAAATAGTAATATGAGTGTGGGAGAGTTTTAAATGTGAGCCTCCAATATAAAACATGGGTTGACTTTAGGGAGAACTGAGTAAAAGATTGGATAGCAAGATTATAGCTTCAAGAGTCTAAACTTACATTACCTATAAATGACACTAAGTGTGAGTTTTTATAGTTGGATAAGACGAACGAAAGTCGTAGGATGACATGCACGTGGGCACGTGGCCTCATCCAAATGACTGACATTTCTTGTCATGGATATCAACCAAATCACAGCCTTAAATGCTATACCACTTTTGTACGCACAAAGGCCTAGCTTGAAACCTTTGACATGACCACATAGGATGGCAACGGTGAGTCATTTTGTCAATCTCATAATGCAAGACCTGTTTAAGATTTCCTTACTGCCTCGTCCTGGACCGGCTCTTCCCACGGAGTTCACGGGTAACGAATTGCCTCGCAGGAAAACGGGTTGTCCGCTCTTGAGGAACCGTCCAGCTTCGCCTCATGTTAGGGTACAAGGCGTGGGATCGTCAAACTGTCTGCACATAGGCTGGTTGAGACCACGTGGGAGTCTTCGTGTAGAGAGGTGTAACACATATCCTCTCCCACCACTTTCTTGCAATCTGTGGATCCCACAATTAAGTTGGCATTTTTCTTTTGCTTCTATCATTTTTTTTTAATGATGAATTTTAAGTTGGGTTTTGGAATTTGAAGGTGGAAATTGAATTCTTGATGGGATTATTTGGAAGAGGATTAAGAGATGAACTTGAAAATTTTAACAAGCTTCACAATTCTAATTAATACGTTACTTGTCCATTTTGGTTGGTTGAATTAATATCCTTCAATTTTGAAAAAGCTGCTACTGCTCAATTTCTCCAAAGTGGTGGGAATGATATTGTGTAAGTTCGAGGAAGAAGATGATGGGGGAGGGGGGAAATTGGAGAAGAAGACGGTAAAGAGAAGAAAATGTATTAAAACAATAATACCCTTCCATTTTGAAAAATTTTGACTACGGATGTTCATTTAATGGAAAAGATGGATGAAAATGAACAAAATGATGTTTTGTACAATCAAATATGTAAATAAGGGTGAAAACGCAAAAAATGAAAGGTGTGGACATTTTGCATAATAATAGTAAAAGATTTGGATGTTACATGCGAATTAACCCTTCTAATGCAATTAATTAAGCTACTCATAAAGATGATTTTTACACCTGCATCAACCATGTTTGGTGTATGTCTCACCTAACCGTTTTCTTGATAGAAATCCCTGACCTTTCTCTTGTTCAACCGTTCTCTAAAGTATTGTCCGCTTTGAAAGAGTTTGTCCATTTTATCCTTTATGGATTTTTATTGCATTTTCTCAAGACACAAACCCCTTACCTTTCCCTGAAAGTGACTTCAACTGAATCCCTGTACTAATTAAGAAAAGTCATTTTTAAGGGAATTGTCTGGGGTTCGGATTCTAAAGATGCGATAGAAATCCATGAGGAGGTAAGATGTCGATAAGAGGATAAGATGGGTTCAGACTCACCCGTAGTGGAGCACTGTACTTGAATTTTTTGTGTACAAATAAAAAAGAGTGGTGCTATGTGTACACACACTTTTTTACACAATGTTTTACACCTCTCTCACATGGAGGGGGGTCCACGATTATTTTATTATATGTGAAACATATAATACGACGAGTAATGTTACATGTACACACACACTTATACACAATCTTTAACACCTCTCTCACATGGAGGAGGTTCCACGATTATTTTATTATATGTGGGCCCCCCTCCATGTGAGGGAGGTGTAAAACATTGTGTAAAAAATTGTGTACACATAGCTTTATTCAATAAAAAATACACGTTTCTTGACGGATGATGAATGGCACCTCAAGTGGTTAAATTTTTTGTTAAATTAACTGCACTTGTAACATAATCATCTTTTGGAATTGATCTCTTATCCAGGTGAATCCAATAAAAACTTCTCACTCAAGGCGCGAGATAGTTTCCAATTCTAGAACCCTCTTCCAACCATCACTTGATAAACCCACACTCCAAAAGGGGTTCTCCAAAAGCCCTCTCAATTTCTTCACCTCCCACCTTATCTAAAAGGAACCCGTATTTATGCTGAAAAATTATCTGAAACTTTCAAACGAATTGAAAAAATGGCCCCTGTTTTGAGCAGAAGTCTGACTGCTGCTTCGGTAGCTTCACTTCCGTATACTGCTTTATTTTCTTCGTCGAATTGTGGTCGTACTAATAGAGGAGTTTTGGGAAGTGCTTTTTTGCCGGGGAATGGATTAAAGAACGGATTTTTAAGAAGTGGGTTGAAGTGGAAACTGCAGAAGAGAGAGAGCAGAGTGGTAGTGAGGTGCGAGGCTGCTGCGGTAGCTGAAAAGGAGGCTCCTGAGAGTGCTGGTGAGACACATGAGTACCAGGCTGAGGTGGGTTTTTCTTTGTTCGGTATGAATTTCATGATTTTTGTTGTTTTGGGCAAAACGAGGAAATATTTAGAAGTTAAATATTATGTCTTCACAATTAGATGAACGATTGTTTTAACAATATTGAAGTTATTAATGGAGGTAACTGGTAAGTTGAATCTTTTTTGTTGAAATACAATCAAGATTGGTACTTTAATGAGAAAAATGGCATAGAAATAAATTATCTGGTAGGGTTTTAGGTATAAAGTTTATGCTTTTCACCTTTGACAATCTATATTTTATACTAATTGTTGGAAATGGGATTGATTTCAGGTTAGTCGGTTATTGGACTTAATAGTTCACAGTTTATACAGTCACAAGGAAGTTTTTCTTAGAGAGCTCGTGAGGTGAGGATCTTTTGTTTTTCTTTACTTGTTTGATTGGAAAATGTCAGAGTTTTAGGTTCCCACTCATATTATTGCTCATATTTTGGGTTTTTTAGCAAGGCTATTTTTGACTTGACTAATTTTGTTGTGCAGTAATGCAAGTGATGCTCTTGATAAATTGAGGTTTTTGAGTGTGACTGAGCCTTCTCTACTTGGAGATGCTGGTGAGCTAGAGATTCGTATAAAACCTGATCCAGACAGTGGGACAATCACCATAACGTGTGTGCCTTAATATTTTTTGTATTCGAAGTTGTTTAAATGGGAGTTGCTTAGTTTTTCCGTGTTTGCAGGGATACTGGTATTGGAATGACAAAAGAGGAGCTTATAGACTGCCTAGGAACTATTGCTCAGAGTGGCACTTCTAAATTCTTGAAGGCTTTGAAGGTATCTATTACTATTTCTTACATCCCGTCTTATTTATCTATATTTATCATACTTAGACTTTACAGTTTGGCGAACAGTTTGATATGCCTTTTTATTCTCTTGAAATTGACAACTGAAGCTTTACTTTATATGTAGGAAAACAATGACCTTGGGGCAGATAATGGCCTGATTGGTCAATTTGGTGTTGGATTCTATTCTGCATTTTTGGTTGCTGAAAAGGTGATGATTGTGTGCATGCATAATTGATTCTATTTATCAATAATCTGTTGGGCCTTTGTTTCTTATGTTGTTGCTGATTATTATTATACATATTCTTCCAGGTGGTAGTGTCAACAAAAAGTCCCAGATCAGACAAACAATATGTTTGGGAAGCCATGGCTGATAGCAGCTCCTACATGATCAGGGAGGAAACTGCTCCTGAAAAGTTACTACGTCGAGGAACACAAATCACACTCTATTTGAGGGTATCTATCCTTGTTTTTAATCAAAAACCTGTTCCTTAAATATACATCATATCTATAATTCCATATTGCAAGCCTAGAGATATGTTCATAGCTTCTTGTTATGACATGCAAATTGGGCAGAAACTCTTGTAATTTCTTCCTTTGAAGTTTCTAATAGTGTTATCTTTGGATAGAATTAATTTAGCTTATATTATTCCTGCAGGAAGACGACAAGTATGAATACTCAGAGCCAACCAAGATCCAGAGTTTGGTGAAAAATTATTCACAGTTTGTTTCATTCCCCATTTACACATGGCAAGAAAAGTCGAGGACAGTTGAGGTGAAATTTTTTTATTTGATCTTCATCAAAACTAAACTGAGCCTTATTCTCAATAAAGTTGGTATCCCTATCTGAATCCTTTTTTTCCCATCTGTTTTTATTGCCACATCTGCTAGAATATCCAAACTAATTAAGTCTGTGGCAACCACAATAGGTTGTCTTAGTATTTTCATCTGTTGTAAAAATAATATTTTCTTCTGATTGTTCATTGGGAGATTGAAAGCACCCTCACCCCAACCCTTTTCTTTATGTGGCTGGCATTGCACATGGTACAAAAATTATTAGTCTGCGAATGATCACTGTTTTCATGTCAGGAATGTGTATACCGTGAATTGTAGAAAATGTTGGAAATTTATATCAGCTCTAATATGTTGATGGGGTTAAGATGGTATGGATGTGCCTATGATGGTCAGGTTTTTCTTTATCATCCAGAAAAGAAAATGGAATATTTACAGCGTAAAGCTGAACAATCATCAAAAACAGAAAATAAAATATTTATAAATATATGAATCCTCATCCTGTAATGTTAACGACTTATTTTAGCTTTACTTGTTTTAGTGGATTTTTATGCTCAGGTATTTGGATGTTAATTATTGGTGCTAATTTTGGCAGGTAGAAGAAGAGGAAGAACCCAAAGAGGGTGAAGATAAACCAGAGGTATGAGTCAGTTACAAGCACTTTTTTCACAATCTGATTTTTCATTTCTATAGAAGTATTTATGTTAATTCCATTTCATCTTATGTCGTTTCCAGGAAGAAAAGAAGAAGATTAAAAAAACCAAAACTGAAAAATATTGGGATTGGGAACTAGCCAATGAAACAAAACCTATATGGGTGAGTTTGAGCTGGTATTTGTTGCATTTTTTTCCAGGACTCTCATTTTACACTTGTAGATGTCCTCTTACACCCTTTTTCTATTTGATATTTGCAGATGCGGAATCCTAAGGAAGTTGAAAAGGATCAGTATAATGAATTTTACAAGAAGACTTTTAATGAATTTTTGGATCCACTTGCCCACACCCATTTCACTACAGAGGTACATAATTTCTATTTTGGATGAGCTTGGACAAATTTAGTTCTGTTTTGACTTTGCCAGACTGGTGCAGGGTGAGGTGGAGTTTCGAAGTGTGCTCTACATTCCTGGAATGGCACCCCTTAACAATGAAGATGTTATCAATCCCAAGACGAAGAATATACGTTTGTATGTGAAACGTGTATTCATTTCAGATGATTTTGATGGAGAGCTGGTAAGAAGCTTTGTGTGCTAGTTTGAGACATGATGTCCTTTCTTAGTTTTTGGAAATACTTTCTTCCTCACGTCAGTCTTGTTTGTGGTGGTGCATTGTCAACAATCTTTAAGCTATGCAGCTGATTTGAAGAAAACTATGTCATGTTTATACAATACTAGTTAAGTTTTGATATATATATCATTTCTATACTACTCAATAAAACAAAGAAAAAACACGTGATTTAAAAAAAATAAAATCCAAAATGCCTTTCTTTATGTATGATTATAAACTAATTATTGGTTTCACTCACTCCTGAAACTTTCATTGAACATTCTATGATTTCTGCTGTTTTCTAAGTATTATCTCACAAAGCGAAAGTTTGGTTTGCGAGTGATCTTGGAATATCATTTCTTCTGTATTCAAAAAAGGTGCAAATATGACTCGTATCTGTGTATATCGACAGTCCCGCTCTTTGCTTGATCTACCTTCTGATAAGTTGTCGTGTCATAAGAATGACTGAATATTGGAGTAAATGTAGAGGAACAGCCATTAAATTCTTCTTGATTCTTGGTTCCTCGTTTTACACATGCAAATACTATATGTTATTAACAAACTATAGTTATGTAGAATATGTTAGATCAACCTTTGTCATATCAATGTATTCGCTGTCCAACTTCTGATGCCAAAGTAATTTATATTCAACAAATTTGATATCTATGTGGTGTGATGTATGGAATATGTGGCAAATTTGGACTTCTACTGATTGGTCAATAGGCCTGCTTGGACTGCCTGTTGTTTCACTCATCAACTGAATGTTCAGTTGCAAATGAAAATTATATATTTAACGGATTTTTATCGTCCTCCTAAAAAGGAAGAACTATGAGAAGATACATCTTGCTTTTCTCTTTGTACCTGTACAAGTGATTTTGAAGTACCTTAGTTCTGCTATTTTCTTAAATTTGAGTTATTTGTAGTTTCATCCAAAGATTAGGTTTATTATTACTTGAAGTATGTCTATTCAGTTTGTTTATTATTCAATTCAAGTTCATTTCCCACCATGAGGTGCAGGCTAAATTTCTAACGAGATATTGCTAATTTGATTACTTGCAGTTTCCAAGATACTTGAGCTTTGTAAAGGGTGTGGTGGACTCAGATGACCTTCCTCTTAATGTTTCACGAGAGATCCTTCAGGAGAGCCGGATTGTAAGTTAATCCTTTCTTTGTAATTGCATACACCATATAAAATTGAAAATTGTTTTCTTTTATATTATTGAGGCTTTATTTACTATTGCCCTTTTATTTAATCTTCTATCTTTTACTCATCTAGGTAAGAATAATGAAAAAGAGACTTGTTAGAAAGACATTTGACATGATCCAGAATCTTTCTGAAAGTGACAACAAAGAGGTAAGTCGCTATTTAAACTTCTACTCGTTTAATCTCTTTATGTAATATAAGTTAAATTAATGATTTGTCTTATTCTAGGATTACAAAAAATTCTGGGAGAATTTTGGGAAGTTTTTGAAGTTAGGATGCATTGAAGACTCTGGAAATCACAAGAGGATAACACCATTGTTGAGATTTCTCTCTTCCAAGAGAGAGGAAGAGTTGGTCAGCTTAGATGACTATGTTGAGAACATGAGTGAGAACCAGAATGCTATCTATTACTTGGCAACAGACAGTTTAAAAAGTGCCAAGTCTGCTCCTTTCTTGGAGAAATTGGTCCAAAAAAATATTGAGGTATGTATGCAGTTGTACTAGAATCCATCGATGCTATTTGCTTCTAATGCATTCTAATCCTTCATTTTTGAAACGGGGTCAATGGTATTAATAATGGGTCGGTCAGAATTTGTTTGGGAAGTGTTTATTAACGGTAGTGTTCATAAATAGATATAAATTAGTAGTGGAAAAGTGGGTAGTACTTGTGGTATGAAATGTGTGGATCAAAAGTGGTTTGACCAAGAGTGTTTACAAAAAGGAGTGTTATAAACCCTTCCCAAACATAGGCTTAATTGTTTGAATTGATGGAGCGTAGAATAGAAAATAAATGTTTTGATCTTAAAACACGAATTTGATAATGATCTGCTGAGGTATCTGAGCATGTTAAAATATTGTCAGTCAATTTTTAGCATTTATCTGTCTATTTTATTCTAGCGTTAGCATGTTGAAAATTTTTTCCACAACATCTAATAAATTTAAAATGTTGCCTTCTGCTGGATGGGACTTTGCGAAAATCTCTTCAATGTTTTTATGCTGCATTTCTAGTAAGTTATCTGAGGTTGCATCTGACTGCTCCTTGTGGATTGTAATTGCTAACGAATAGGTGCTATATCTAATTGAGCCAATCGATGAAGTTGCCATCCAGAATCTACAGACTTACAAGGAAAAGAAATTTGTTGACATCAGCAAGGAAGATTTGGAACTTGGTTAGTAATATTTAATGATGTTCAAATGACCTCGAACCGCAGATTCAACTGTTAATTCCCCATGCCAAACTCTGAAACGTCTTTGTTGATTTTCTTTGTGATGGTTAGGAGGGAAAAATGTTGCCCTGTTGATTTCCTTGCGTGTAATGGTTCTTATCCTTTTCCAATATGACAGGTGACGAGGATGAGGTTAAAGAAAGGGAAACTAAGCAAGAGTATAATCTTCTTTGCGACTGGATAAAACAACAACTTGGTGATCAGGTGGCAAAAGTGCAAGTGTCTAAGCGTTTAAGCTCATCACCATGTGTGCTTGTTTCTGGAAAGTTTGGGTGGTCGGCAAATATGGAAAGGTCTGTCCTATGCATGTATATTAATGATGCAAAATGAAGAGTTTTCACATTTTTTTAATTATAATTATTTTTTCTTATTTTCTTCTATGCAGATTGATGAGAGCACAGACACTTGGAGACACTTCGAGTCTCGAGTTCATGAGGGGAAGGAGAATACTGGAGATCAATCCCGATCACCCAATCGTCAAAGATCTGAATGTAAGATTTTATGCTTTTGTTTGAAAAGTAGATGTAGTATATGCTTTGTGATCTAAACAAAGTTCGAATAATAGGTTCAAAAATTTGTATGTTGTCTTTATAGGGTGACATCTGTGAACATTATGATGTCTTTTTTCAGTTCCTTAACGTTATTATAAATATTTTAAATTATGAAGCTCGAAGCATTATGTGACTTTTAACTTCTATAGCCTAAATTTATTTTTCTGTCTTTTATATTGCTTCAATAACTAATATCATTAAATTGGAAACACTAGAAAACATGAATCTTACAAATTGTCAAAAGTTCATCTTGGGCACTGTTGACCAGATCTTAATGAAATACTGCAAATTTGGATCCAGACGTTCTTACGAATGCCGAATTGTTACTTTTTATATTTCAATTTTTGCAGGCTGCATGCAAGAATGCCCCAGATAGCACTGATGCTAAGAGGGCTGTGGAACTTCTGTATGATACAGCCTTGATCTCCAGTGGGTTCACCGTAAGTATAAAGGAAACTTTTATTGCAGGTTTGGTATAGTAGATTAGACATGACTAAATGCTATCAAAGAAAAAGAGAGTTAAAATCTGATCTATTGCATTGTCCACTACAACTGATTCAGTAATAGTCTTGTTTAATCTGCTAACATTGTTAAAAAAGGAACTAAGAACTCAATGGCACAGCCTGACAGTCCAGCCGAGCTAGGTAACAAGATATACGAGATGATGGCAATGGCCCTTGGAGGAAGGTGGGGCAGACTCGAGGACAACAAAGTGGAATCCACAGAAAATGCTACAGAATCTGACGCAAGCTCATCTGATGGTTCGGAAACTCAAGTCGTTGAGGCCTCAGAAGTGAGGACTGAGAATGATCCTTGGAGTGCTTGATGAGGGCATCAGTGCCCCATCTTTTATCAAATTTTTGGTACAATTGTCCCCAACGGGCAACGGGTAAGAGTTATGAGGTAGACTGCACAAAAATGAAGCAAACCATGTATTGGTCGAAGGGTACTATCTGCTTATTATCAACATATTTCATAAGAATTGATACACTTTCATTACAATCCCATTATACTCTCTCTCAAAGAAAAGCTGACTTGCATTTTGAGTCGGTCAAAATAATCTATGGGTCAGTTAAATTTGCACCATTGATTTTTTATTTTTTGTTGCTACTAGAAATGTCAATGATCTATCAGTCTATTTGGACAACTAAAATTTGATTTTCGTTGGTATTAGATATGTTATAGCTAATGTCATCTTAATAGTACTAAGTGCATATTTGGAAAGTTGACTTTCAAGTTTCAGCTTTAGTTCTACCTAAATTGTTTATAAAATCAATATTTGTAGATATAACATTTTTAATTAACAGCCAGCTTGAATTTTCAAAAATAGAGGCTGAAACACATAAACTGAGCTCGGGTCGCTTAGGCAAATGCGTGATCAAAATGTTGTTTTCGTTCAGAATTTAACTCCAACAAGGAAACTTTCTTTTGGGCAGTTATTTGCACGAATTTTAGAGACTTTTGGGACTTCTTGAAGAGTACTATAAATATACCTTATAAACTCAAAATTAGGGGGGAAAATTGACTGTAAGGAGAGGCAAAGAACGGAAGATTGAGTTCAAGAAATTTGAACATCAAATTCAAGAATTTCGGCTGATGAATTATTTTTATTTCTTTTTTTTTTTTCACAACATTTTAGGTTAAAGTAATCTTGTGATAGGATCACGATGAACGTTGTATTACGAAATTTTAACTTTTAAATCTTGTTTTTGACATTAAAGCACATTTTTAGTTTTGAACAATTATGATGAGATTTATTTTATCGACAATTACTTGATTACTAATTGTATGAATTTTGCGACTTGTTTTACCTTCGAAAGATTGAAAATAAGTTAGACATAGTCATAATTGTTGTAAAGTCCGATAGGAGATGGAAATATGCCATTATGTTTTACGTGATCTTTAAGTATTTACAAATCAATTAATGCATTCTTGTATCTTTGCATCCGTCATAGAAATATAGTTTGATCACATATAAGAATATATTTAATTCTACTTGAAATAGATTATTATACAATTTAGAAATATTGATCTTCGTAATTGAATCGTGTTGTCAAATTCAAAAGTTCGGAGTTAAATGAGGATCGATACAAGGGAATTCGAGATCCTAGTGCATCTTTCGTCAATAGATTTTCATCAAACTTGCATAAATCACATTTTTGCATCGAATTTTGTTAAGCTAAGTCTTGCATTTTTAAGTAGAATAATTAGTGACAAATTAGTTATTGACAGATTGTCAATTTTCATAGTTTCGATTAAGGTTAATTTTATTTGAGCTTAAACTAATACAATCTCTAGCTATAGGATTTTTGTCGGGATACACGCCATGTTATATAATTTTTCTAAAAGTCAGAAGATTAAAATTTTTCTTGGTGTGAATTCAGTGCAAATTTTTAAATCTTATATGCTATCACTGTTGGTTACTTTGATTTCTTGAAATATAAATTAAAGCCTAGTAACAAGGAAAAGTAATGGCTGTCATGACGTTTACCAACCGAATTATTTTAATCATTTTACCTATTCGCATTTACCCTGGGGAGTTTCTGATCTTTACTCCTTTATTTGATTATTTGTGCTTTTATATTGTGGACAATGTAATATTTTTATTTAAGGGTGGATAAGTATTATGATATTTTGAATATATATTTATTTTTTTAACTGTTGATCGGGTATGTATAACCGTGTAACAGTTAACCAAAAAAAAAAAAAAAAAATTTCAAAAATAGTATCTAATTTAGCGTTGAATGACTTGTCGCCTACGATGATATTTGTGACTTTGAGAAAGACTTACTATCTTCGTCTAGATTTAATAGTATATGATTTTTGATCACTTTGTGTAGAAAATGCATTATAATGATTTTTAGGAATCCGCATGTGCTAAAAATACCTCAAAATTGGAGAGAAAAATATAAGGAGTGATTTTGTATGATGGGTGTGAGGAAAAATTGACCCCAAGAGGCTTGAGGTTATGAGTGAATCAACACTACTTGATTGGTTGTGTTCTAGTATGGTGTGAGTTAAAAGTTTGCTAATCACACACATAAACTCTAAATCGAGTATTTGATAAGTAAAAATTTATTTGTGATATTATTTGGATTTTTCTAAAGTGTTTCTTAAATTCGAACATGTGGCATATGGTAAGTAGTTCAATCTTGAGTCTGTTACTTATGATTTATTTATGATAGTAATATGGGTTTATGCATAAGTTTTTTTTTTGCTCGAGGACGAACAAATGTTTTAGTTTGAGAGTGTTCGATAAGTGCGTTTTATGCACTTATTTGAATCATATTATGAAGCTTTGATATCATCAAAGTATTGAATTCTACTTAATTTGGGTCAATTTTCTTTTGTTTTCAGTTTTGTAACCTATTTCTAAGCAAATCGGAAAATAGAGAAGGATCAATTGACCATTGGATGTAAGTTTTGGGACTAATATGTATTTAAATAAAAGTTGAAGGACCAAAATTGAAGTGATTTAAATCGGGAGATCAAAATCAAGGAAGGAATGAAGAAGATGACTAATTGCAACATTTCAATAGTTGATTCGGACCATAAAATGAAGATCGAAGATGTTACAGGTTCAAGTGGATGTAATTAGAAGTTAAAGGATATAAATTGCAAGAGAAAAAGATTTAAAAGAATCAAGAATAAAATTTGGGGACCAAAACGCAAACGTTGAAAGTTCGTATAACTGGGCGATTGTCCAATTATAAAAGCCCAGCGGTGAATTTTCAAAAACAAAGACTGAAACACATAACTGGGTGAGTGCCCGGATTTAGTCTTGGCGACCGCCCAGACAAATGGCAACCAAAATATTGTTTTCGTTCAAAATTCAACACCAACAAGGAAACTTCCATTTGAGCCATTATTTGCACGAAGTTTTGAGACTATTGGAACTTCTTGGAAAGTACTATAAATACAACTTATCAACTCAAAATTAGGGTGGAGAATTGATTGCAAAATGAGGAAAAGAACGGAACATAAATTCAAGAAATCCAAACATCAAATTCTAGAATTCCGGGTGATGAGCTTTTTTTTTCTTCTTCTTCACAACATGTTAGGCTGAAATAATCTTGTACTAGGATCACAATGAACATTGTATTACGACACTTCAACTTCTGAATCTTGTTTTTGACATTGAAGCACATTTTTAATTTTGAACAATTATGATGAGATTTATTCTCTACAATTACTTGATCACTAATTGTATAAATTTTGGACTTGTTTTACTTTCGAGAGATTGGAAATAAGTTAGACATAATCATAATTGTCGTAAAGTCCAATAGAAAATAGAAATATACCACTATGTTTTACTTGATCTTTAAGTATTTACAAATCTACTAATACATTCTTGTATGTTCGCATCCATCATGTAAATATAGTCCCGTCACATGTAAGAATATGTTTAATCCTACTTAGGAAAGATTATTAAACAATTTAAGAATATTGATCTTCATAATCGAATTGAGTTATCAAATTCTAAGGTTTGGAGTTAAAAAATGATTGATACAAGGGGATTCGGATCCTATAGCATTTTTCATCAATAGATTTTCGTCAAACTTGCATAAATCACAATGTTGCATCGAATTTTGTTAAGTTAGGCATTGCATTTTTAATTAGAATAATTAGTGACACCAATTTTCATAGTTTCGGTTAAGGCTAAGTTTATTTGAGTTTAGACCAATACAATATTTATGAGTATGATACTTGGATTTAAAATCAATTTTACTACTTGTTAACGAATCGTACACTTGTGTTATTTCAAACGTAACAAACATTTTCGTGACAATGTGGTACAAACAACTATATCTAACAGCGATTAATCTATCACATAATTTTCTTATAGTTTTTTTTTTCAAGTCATAAATACTCGATTTTTCTTGTAGAGCAGGTACATTTGCATGATTTTTTCCACAAAATTTTATTCTAACAAACATTTCCGATGAGATATCATTAAATTTTATCAGTTTTTACGCCCGCGAAAGCATTCTTCTTTATTTTAAATCCTCCATTTTCAGTGGCTTCAAGTTGGAGTGGCGGGAAATGCACCCACAAAAAGACGTAAAACAAACTGGGGGTGCCTTTACAATTAGGGACTAAATGGATGCAATCTGATTCTTTCCTACATACAGGAGGTGGTGGAGAGCCTGACAATTCATGAATTTTATTGGTCATATATTTTCTAGAAATATTTGGTAAAAAACGATAGATATAATTAATACGTACAAGTGCATAAGATATGGAAAAATAAAGGAAAAATTTCATAATTACAATAGTTCAAAAATTCAATTTCAAAATTAAGAAACTTGTAAAAAAATTTCAAAATCAAGTGATATGTGACGTTGGCCAGTTCTCATAATTGATTGTGACCTATAAATTATCTGATTGTAACTTGATATGGTGTCTAATTCTGATATAATCATAATTGTGACTTAATTTGCTTTACTGTAACATTTATACTTTAGATTATTTTATTGTTTTTCTATATTGAAAATTAAAACACTTTGAATGAATTTAATTATAGAAAGTCAGTTTGGCTCTCCAAATTTGGAGAGTCAAACCCACTCTCTAAACTAAAATGTTAATTTAAAGAGTCTCTTGTAACATGATTTTAAATATTGACTCTTCAAAATAGAGAGCATATCATGTTTAAAGAGTCTTTTGGGGATGTTCTTATACGTTATGTTATAAATGTGACCTATGAGCTTGTGTGATTGTGATTAGTTATGTTATCTAATTGTAACATAAACACATACATTCTTGTGACTATCTTATTTTTGAAAAAAAAAATGGAAGAAGAAGAAGTTAATGGATGCTAAATTAAAA